AGTAGGGTCTGCAAGGTATCTGTTGCTGTGATAAACACCATGATCCAGAACAACTTAGGAAGGAAAGGGTTTGTTTCAGTTTACAATTTCCAGATCACACCGTGTCACAGAGGGAAGTCAGAGCAGGGACTCAGGGAAGGACCTGGAGGCTGCAGTTTTTTTATGTGTGGTTTGTTCAGCCTGATTTCTTATTCAACTCAGCCCAGGGGTGGTACCCCACATTAATCATTTAACAAGAAAATGTTCTACAGGCTGTGTAGCAGGCTATCTGTTGGAGGCATTTTCTCAATTGAAGTTCCTTTTCCCAGATAATTCTAGTTTGTGTCAAATTGGCAAAACAACAACAACAACAAAAACCCAAAACAAACAAACAAACAAAAACAACAACAAAAAGCAGGACTCTAGGAATCACACACATTTAATACCAGTACTTGGGCATCAGAGATAGAGGTGTGTCTCTGTGAGTTCAAGGCCAGCCTGGTCTGCATAGTGAGATCCTGTCTCAAGATAAAACAAAACAAAAAAGCTGGATATAAAAAAAAAGATTTAGGGCTGGAGAGATGGCTCAGTGGTGAAGAGCACTGACTGTTCTTCCAGAGGTCCTGAGTTCAATTCCCAGCAACCACATGGTGGCTCACAACCACCTTGAATGAGATCTGGTGCCCTCTGCTGGCATGTAGGCAGAAGACTGTATACAAAATAAATAAATCTTTAAAAAAATAAAAATAAAATAAAGATTTAAATTTAAAAGAGTAGGTGGGGGGCTTTGCGATGGCTCAGTAAGGGCACTTGACACCAAGCATGACCTCACTTTGATCCCCAGAACCCACGTGAGGGAGGGCAGGACAGACTCCACAGTGTTCTCTGACCTCCATGTATGGTCTGTGACATATGCTTGATACACGTTTCCCTTCCCATTAAATAAACATTTTTTTTCTAAAAGCTGAATTTGGTGCAATTTGTAACCGATGGGAAGGCAGAAATAGGCAGATCTCCCTGGGGTCAGCCAGCCTAGTACTGGGTGAGGCTGTCCTGTCTCAAAATTAAAGCAAAGACAAAAAAAAAAAAAAAAAAAAAAAGCAGGATGGACAGCTCCTGGGGAAAGGACCATCAGAGTTAACCTCCAGCCAACAAATGCACCCTTCCCCACTAAAAATTTCCCAAAACCTGACAAAATTGATTTTTTTTAAACAAAGTAGTTTATCACTTTACATTCCGACCAAATCTGGAACATTCTACATCTTGACAATACTTAGGATCTTTGGACTTTTAATAAAATTTTGAGCTCGTAGTGTTTTTTTGTTTTGTTTTGTTTGTTTGTTTGTTTGTTTTTGGACAGGGTCTCATAATACAGCTCTGGCTGACCTGGAACTTACTATGTAGACCAGGCTGGCTCCAAGGTTCTAGAAATCTGCCTGTCTCTCCCTCCTGTTTGCTGGGGTTGAAGGTGTGGGCCACCACACTTGGTTTTCTTTGTTTTTCACTCTCCTGTGGAAGCCAGAGGCTGTTGTCAGGTAACTTTCTCACTGGGTCACCACCTTTTTTTTAACTTTAATTTTTAATTTTTAAAGATTTTTAAGCTTTATTTTATGTTATGGGTATTTTGCCTGCATACATGTCTATGTACTGCTTTGTGCAGTCCCCTCAGAGGCCAGGGTGATGGGGGATGTCCTTCTGTATATGTGTATATGTGTTTCTCTTGTTGGTTGGTGAATACAACACTGTTTGGCCTATAGAGGAAGGAAGATAGGCGGGCCTAGGAGACAAGGAGACTTCTGGGAAAGGTAGGCAGAGAGGAACCGAGAGCTCGCCAGTAGTTCTCTGGTAAGATAAGGCCATGTAGAAATACATAGATTAGTAGTTATGGATTAATAATTAAGAGAGAGATAGCCAAAAAGAAGTCCTAGTCATCGACCAACAGTTTAATAATTAATATAGCGCTTGTGTGTTTATTTGGGGCAGTGAAGGGTGGCAGAACCTGGTGGGACAAGAAGTCTCCAGCAACACCTTTGGACCTGACTGACAGTCATTAGCAGCCATGTGGGTGCTGGAAATGGAACTGAGTTCCCTGCAAGAGCAACACGTGCTTTTAACTGCTAAGCTGTCTCTCCAGCTCGATTCCCCACCTTCTTAATTAGTGTGAGTATGCAATCATGCACACTGTGGCACACATCTGGTAGGTTCCAGATGTGAAGGTCAGAGGATAGTTTTGTGGCGTTGGTTCTCTCCTTCCACCTTTGCATAATTCAGGATTAGCTGTCAATCTATCGTGAGTGCTGTTCTTATAGCCTATCAATTGCCATCTTGGGGAGTTCAGCAGCACCCCTTTGCAAAAGATCATCCCAGCTGGGTTTTTAATGGTTATACCACCCCGATACCATGATCCCCTGCGTAGGAGAGCTGAGTAGGACAAGAGAAAATCTCTTGTCGGAATATCCGGTTGCCACTGGATAACTCTACACTTCAACTGGGGGAGGGGCTAGAGCAGGAGTTCTCAACCTATGGGTCACAACCCCCTTTGGGGTCTCCTATTAGATATTTACATTACGATTCATAGCAGTAGCAAAATTATAGTTATGAAGTAGCAATGAAATAATTTTATGCCTGGGGGGGTCAACACAACATTAGGAACTGGATTAAAGGGTTGCAGCATTAGGAAGGTTGAGAACCACTGGGTTCAAATGTTTAGAGGCCAGGTAAGACTAGAGGAGGGGAGGCTTCATCCTCCTAGGAGGCTATGGGAAAGCCCTCATCCCTGCTGGGTAAGGCTTTCCAGGTACAGCAGGTAAGGGGAGGCGTGCCCACCCCCCTGTACATTCATCCTCCTAAGTTACCCAGGCTCTGTAAGGAAGCCCAATGGACTCATTGGTCCCCAGAGTGAACTCTGGCAGAATTATGCCTTGGTTTGCTTGCATTGGGACCTTAGGAGAAAGGGGTTGAGCTTGTGCTAAACAGTTTTTCTTGCCACATTCACACATGGGCCCACTGAACATCTCAGTGTCACCTCACCTTATTTTTTAAGACTGGGTGCCTCACTGAACGTGACAGTCACTGTGTCTTTGAGCTGGTTGAGCAGTAAGCCCTGAGACTGAGACTGCCTGTCTCAGTCCCCTAGATTGGAGTTACAGACTTGCATCACTGTGACCAACTTTTAGGTGGGTGCCGGGGACCTGAGCGCAGATCCTCAAGCTTATGCAACAAGCACCAAAGTGAGCCATCACCCCAGCCTTTTCTCACCGAGCTTCTCCTTTTGATTTGCATCTCATTATTAGTAATTCTGGTTGTCTTGTGTTTTTTTTTTTTTTTTTTGAGCTACTCATTTTTGAACATCCCATTGGGAAAAGAGCTAAATCCCAAGACTCAGCAAAGGAAGGCTTTTATATGACAGGTGCTATAAAAGAGTGTCATCAGCTAAATGGTTATTGAATTCTTCTTTGACATTCCCACATCTAAGGGATACAGTTGCTCTTTAAGGGAGAACTCCGATACAATGAGCAATTTTGTATGAACATATTGGCGGGGCTGGGGACGCAGCTCAGTTGGTAGCATAATTGTCTGGCATACACGAAGTCCGGAGTTCAGTCCCTAGCACTGGATAAGCTGTGTGGTGGTGCAGGCTTGTAGTCCCCAAACTTGGGAGATGGAAGCAGGAGCATCAGCCTTGTCTACACAGCAAGTTTCGGCCCAGCTCTGCCTATTTAAGACCCTGTAAAAAAGAAAACTAAATAAAATGACATTAAAATGCCCATACTGGGGGTGGGGAGTGGGGTGGCGCACGCCTTTAATCCCAGTACTCAGGAGGCGGAGGCAGGTGGATCTCTGTGAGTTCGAGACCAGCCTGGTCTACAAGAGCTAGTTCCAGGACAGCCTTCAAGGCCAAGAGAAACTGCCTCAACCCCCCCAGAACAAAAATAAACACAAAACAAAACAAAAACAACAACAAAAAATGCCCTACTGTAAGTTAAGTTACAACAGTGGGCAAAGTACACACACACACACACACACACACACACACAATGTAAATAGTAAGAACTGAAAAGTGTAGCCAGTTAGTGGTGGCACACGCCTTTACTCGCAGCAGAGACAGATCTCTGTGAGTTCAAGGCCAGCCTGGTCTACAGAGCAAGTTCTAGGACAGACTCTAAAGCTACACAGAAAAACCCTGTCTGAAAAAAACAAAAACAGAAAAAAAGAAGGTGGTGGTGGTGGTTGTTTTCTGGAGAGATGGCTCAGTGGTTAAGAGCACGGGCTCTCTTCCAGTGGTCCTGAGTTCAATCCCAGCTTACACATGGTGGTTCACAACCATCCTTAATAAGATCTGGTGCCCTCTTCTGGCTTGCTTGCACTTAGAGACATAAGAACAGTAGAGATAGTCAGACCAGCAGTTCAAGGGTAGTCTGGAGAGGCTCCATTAAAAATAAAAGCAAATGATAATTAATAATAAAAATAATCATGATTCCTTCCTGTGAACCAGTTTTGTCTAATAGCCTGGGGACTCCAAAAGGGCAGATAGGATAGCTGATAACTCTGAGATATCTTTCATTGTCCGAATTCCAGGTCACACATCCGTAAAGGGACTCAACACAGGTGACAGAGGACAGTGTGGAGAATTCATAGCTTTAATAACAGATCGGTAAGGGGTGGGGATGCCAGTTTCTATATTGGTACTAGTCTCCAAAAGCTGACTTCCTTTGTCTAAGAGCTAGACAATGCCCGCTTAATTTCTGAACCCCAAAACTTAATTATTTTCTTCTCTTCGGACTTTCTTAAAGATAATCACATCTTCCTATTTTTAGTTCTTGCCTTTAAGAAATCCCAGCCCTTTAATGATTTGCTGCTCACAAGCACTCTCACAATCTCTAGATTTGTAGGAGTGATATCAGGTATGTGTGGAGTGGAGTAATGAGCTTTCTACCCATGGGACTGCGGAAACTCACGGTGAAGAGCTCCTACCACGGTCTGGAATGCAAAACCCAGAATTCTTCTTCTAGGATCAAGGCGTCCCTGACTGTAGCCCCATCTGGTTCTGGGTGAGTGTCATTGTCTCCGCTATCTCCCTGTCCCCACTGCTTCCTCTGGTCCATCTTAATGTTTTCTCACGCCAACCTCTACCCTCAAATCAGTCCCAAACTAGTCACAGGGTTGCTGGCCTACTTACTGAACGCAAAGCCACAGAACAAAGAGGCCTGAAAGAAGCTGGACTAGAAAGGTAGCTGGGGAGAGAGGAGGCCCTGCATCTGAGGGGAAAAGATGCAATTTCTCTAAATCCGGCAAGAAGACTCGGGCATCGTCCAGAGCTGTCTGAGCTGCCACAGTAAAGTTAGGGTCACCAGAGACTGAAACATCAAAGACGCAAGATTGGAAGTAGGCGTCTTCCACGGGAAGCCCTTCCTTACACAGCCTTCTGGCAGTGTCGATGGCTATAGCCCCTCGGCGACTGCGCTCTGAGCGAGAGAGTCGCTGACTGGGAGGGCAGCCGCCAACACACAGCTGTAGGTCCTGCTCAGCGGAGAAGGCCCGCGCCACGTCCTCGGCTACCCTGATGGAGAAGGAGAGCTGTCCAGCTGTCTGTCGAATGATTATAGTTGTCCCAATATAGGCAGCTCGGATCTCCACGTGGCTCCCAGGGTTAGCAGTTTGAATGGACAAACTCGAGCCCCCAGGTCGGTCACCTCCATTGATAGAACCGTCTTCAAAGGCTGCAGGAAGATTGTCCACCTCGGCCTGGTAGACTTTCTGGTCAATGCATTCCTGCATGTTCTTAAAACTCTAAAGCTACACAGAAAAACCCTGTCTGAAAAAAACAAAAACAGAAAAAAAGAAGGTGGTGGTGGTGGTTGTTTTCTGGAGAGATGGCTCAGTGGTTAAGAGCACGGGCTCTCTTCCAGTGGTCCTGAGTTCAATCCCAGCTTACACATGGTGGTTCACAACCATCCTTAATAAGATCTGGTGCCCTCTTCTGGCTTGCTTGCACTTAGAGACATAAGAACAGTAGAGATAGTCAGACCAGCAGTTCAAGGGTAGTCTGGAGAGGCTCCATTAAAAATAAAAGCAAATGATAATTAATAATAAAAATAATCATGATTCCTTCCTGTGAACCAGTTTTGTCTAATAGCCTGGGGACTCCAAAAGGGCAGATAGGATAGCTGATAACTCTGAGATATCTTTCATTGTCCGAATTCCAGGTCACACATCCGTAAAGGGACTCAACACAGGTGACAGAGGACAGTGTGGAGAATTCATAGCTTTAATAACAGATCGGTAAGGGGTGGGGATGCCAGTTTCTATATTGGTACTAGTCTCCAAAAGCTGACTTCCTTTGTCTAAGAGCTAGACAATGCCCGCTTAATTTCTGAACCCCAAAACTTAATTATTTTCTTCTCTTCGGACTTTCTTAAAGATAATCACATCTTCCTATTTTTAGTTCTTGCCTTTAAGAAATCCCAGCCCTTTAATGATTTGCTGCTCACAAGCACTCTCACAATCTCTAGATTTGTAGGAGTGATATCAGGTATGTGTGGAGTGGAGTAATGAGCTTTCTACCCATGGGACTGCGGAAACTCACGGTGAAGAGCTCCTACCACGGTCTGGAATGCAAAACCCAGAATTCTTCTTCTAGGATCAAGGCGTCCCTGACTGTAGCCCCATCTGGTTCTGGGTGAGTGTCATTGTCTCCGCTATCTCCCTGTCCCCACTGCTTCCTCTGGTCCATCTTAATGTTTTCTCACGCCAACCTCTACCCTCAAATCAGTCCCAAACTAGTCACAGGGTTGCTGGCCTACTTACTGAACGCAAAGCCACAGAACAAAGAGGCCTGAAAGAAGCTGGACTAGAAAGGTAGCTGGGGAGAGAGGAGGCCCTGCATCTGAGGGGAAAAGATGCAATTTCTCTAAATCCGGCAAGAAGACTCGGGCATCGTCCAGAGCTGTCTGAGCTGCCACAGTAAAGTTAGGGTCACCAGAGACTGAAACATCAAAGACGCAAGATTGGAAGTAGGCGTCTTCCACGGGAAGCCCTTCCTTACACAGCCTTCTGGCAGTGTCGATGGCTATAGCCCCTCGGCGACTGCGCTCTGAGCGAGAGAGTCGCTGACTGGGAGGGCAGCCGCCAACACACAGCTGTAGGTCCTGCTCAGCGGAGAAGGCCCGCGCCACGTCCTCGGCTACCCTGATGGAGAAGGAGAGCTGTCCAGCTGTCTGTCGAATGATTATAGTTGTCCCAATATAGGCAGCTCGGATCTCCACGTGGCTCCCAGGGTTAGCAGTTTGAATGGACAAACTCGAGCCCCCAGGTCGGTCACCTCCATTGATAGAACCGTCTTCAAAGGCTGCAGGAAGATTGTCCACCTCGGCCTGGTAGACTTTCTGGTCAATGCATTCCTGCATGTTCTTAAATATGATGGTAATCTGTGCGGGCAAAGAGGAAAATAGTTTATTAGGACTCAGTTTATCTTTCCCTCAATCAAGCAGCTTTTATTGTTAGGGATCTGATCCCAGCAGACGCAGGGTGTCTCCACGGCCCTTGATCCGGTCCCCTATTGCCTTCCAGTAATACCTGACCCCTATCCAACCCCTCATTCCTTTTTTTTTTTTTTTTCTCAATCTCAGCCAGGAAAATAAAGTGTCCCTTCTGACTCCTCAGTTCTCATAGCCTGGCTGCCACCCCAGCTTCTTCCTCAGTGTTACCTGCATTTTAAATAAAATCCCCATCAAGAGGAACTGATCTACAGGGGCAAATGTTTGATAAGAGGCAGCCATTCAAGATGGGCGGGACTATTTGGGGAAGACAAGGAACCAGGAGCTTGGTGGCTGAGGAGTGAGAACAAGGAGTGGTGTGCCCGGTGGACCGGGAGAGGATTTCAGAAGGTGGATTAGGAGGGAAATTGAATCCCTGACCTTCCGGGTGGTGGTAGCGTTGGCCCCCGATGCCACGGGGGAGCTGGTGGCCTGAACAAAAAGGAAGTCGTTATCCAGAAGGGGCCAAGCTCCTTGGACGCGGCATGTGTGAAAGTGGTGGTAGAAGCTGCGCACGTGGGGATCCCCGAACGAGGCGCAATGCAAGAAGCCCGGGGCCCGACCGTGCAGCCGGGAAAACCGGGCCTCGTAGTCACAGGGGTCTGGGGTCGGGGGTGCTGGGCAAGCTCCGGGAAGGGCGGGGCCCCGGGCCGGGGGCGGGGCCGTGGGGCCCTGGCGAGAGCAGTTGTGCTGGATCATCAGGTCCTCGATGCCGTGCACCGCTGAGTGGAAGGCGAGGTCCCCGCGGCACGTGCGGGCTGTGCGCCGAGTGCAGAGCGCATAGGAGCGCAGGGCGCGACACAAGCCACCCGAGGCCAGCCCACCACGGCCGCCTCCACGCTGCGTACCCGGTGAGCCCCCTTCCCGAAGGCTCAGAGTGGACGAGACGTACTCGGCATTGCAGCGGAGGATCTTGCACTGGGAGTGAGCTGAGGACGGAAGGGAGAGGAGGACAGTGAGACGGTGCCCAGACGTAGGTTCTAGCCAAGTCCAGAACGCGCCTAATTGCCAAAAGGCATCCTCCATCCCAGCTCTTCCTAGCACCCAGAGTGGGCGCTTTCCCAGTCCCAACCTTCAGCCCCCTCCTCCTCGCCTCCTTCCCTCTTTTTCTCTACTAAAAAGCGTGTAATCCAGTCGGACCTTTCCCCCTTACGGTCCAAGGACTCCATATGTGTCCTTCCTCCAGTTAAACGGGGAAACAAGACAGGCCTCTTTCAGAGTGACTGGGATTCAGCACCCCTTCGCCCTCACTCACTGATGCTGGCATGCCCACCCCTACCCGGCAGCCTACCATCTAGAGGTGCCCAACCCTTCCCTAACCCTTCCTTACCCTGTCCACAGAGGAGCAGCAGTAGAATGAGGGTGCTTAGAGTTGGGGGACCGCCATGGGGGAACCAGGGACTAAGAGGCTGGCCTCGATCCCCCATACCTATCCAGCCAGATCCCCCCAGGCGCGGGTTCTTCCCAGCTGATGAACCTCCTACCTAGTGAATTTCGACAGGCAGTTCTGTGACTGGAAAAAGAAATTTGACTGGGTGTGGGGAAAGAGAAGGGTTGAAGACGGGTCAAGATGGTGTGGAGAGAATCTGGGGAGATCAAGACAACAATTATACAGACTGGAGCTTGGGAAGCAGGAGGCTTCCAGATGGTGAGCTTGGCTAGTGAGCCTCTGAGCCCTGCTCCTGTGGCCACCTTCAGGTCCCTTGTGCAATACCCCTAGGTGGGGGTGGAGGGAAGGTTGAATGACCTCCGTGGGCAGAGTCCACAGTATTGCCTCATCCTGACTACCAAATAGCAGATTTGTCAGAAATGGAGGGATTCCTGGGGAAAGTGAGTTCCTGATCATTTCAGCGGGTTCTCCTGAAGCCTTGGGATCTGAAAATGCTTTAAAAACATACCTTTTATATGTAACTCCCAATCACGAGAGGCCGGCCACCTGCCATGTCTTTTTCTTCATTGTGTTAGAAGGGCACAAAGGGTAAATATCTTAGACAAGTGCCTTCTAGAATGTCATTTTTCCAGTGAAAAGGGAATCAGTCTCTTAGCCACCCTAGACGACTGGCATTATGATCCCTCTCTCATCACATAGGATACAAACCAAGCATTTAAATTAATATTTTTTTTCCTGAAGAACAACTCTTTCTATTATCCCCCGTGCACCCCCTCCAGCCTTTGCAAATCCTGAAGTTCCTGGTCTTTTAAGGGGGGCAGGTATTGGGGAGGATCTCTCTCCCTTTCTCCTGCCAAAATCCACTCTTTGGAGTAAGTCTATATATAATTGGGCAAGAGTCCTGCAAGGGGTCTTGAGTTAGAGGCTGGGAGTGTAACTCAGTGATAGGTGAGTGTTTACCATGCTCAAGGGTTCAGTTCCCAGCATTATCCCCCAACTCCCACTCCAAAGTCTCAGTGTAATAAAGTGCAGAGGGAAATAAGGGCCGGAGAAGAGGCAGCATTAAACTCCAAGTAGACATGGCTTGGAAACCAAAACAATGAGGCAGGAAGAGTGGCGGTGGGGTATTGGTAAGGAGAAATCCTAGTTTTCAGAACAGATGTCTGTAATTTTATGAAATTCTAGCCTCAACCCAACGCTTATCAAAGCAATTTCAGTTTCATCTGGACTTACTGTTTCCCGAGGTCAAACATGACTCTGATACCCGACTCTCCAGCCATAGTTGCCTATGCTGTTGGTCTGCTCCAACCAGGGGTCCCCCGTCTCTTTCTCCATGTCTCTCCCAGTACCCCAGACTGGCTGTAATCTTACTGAGGTCAGAGAGCCAGAGAAGGTTTGGTGTGGAGAGAGGGGGAAGGGAGAGTAAATGGCTGGCCCCAGGACTCGACAGCTGAGAGGAGGAGGGAGGTGGCCACTGAGTTGACAGTTTTAAAAATAGCTAAGTCCAAAATTCCAGGAGCGTTGGTGGCAGTAGGGTGTGGGAGTGAAGGCAGTGAGGACGATAAGCAGAATGGATGAAATATGGAATGTTGGGTACCAAGTGAGGGAGAGAGTAAAGAAACATGACAGCCAAGTCAGATATCCAACTCCAGCTTGTGTGCTCTCTCTCTTCGTGGCCACTCTGCTCCTCCTGCATTCTCAGTAATGAGCTCCTGGCCTTTAAGAATGGCAGGGAGCTGTTGACTGTCTTTCATTTACTCTATACTGAGTATCCCATTGAGTTTCCACCGATGGTATGTGGTGGTGTCTGGCTTTGAAGGTGGACAGCAAGCCTCATTCATGGACCCTCCCTGTCT